AAAAAAAGTCTAGAAGGGAGAAATAAGGACTAGTTGTTGAATTGTTTTGAAGGCTCGATCCATTGTCTTAAGAGGCAAAAGTGGAGACTTTTGAACTCTTAAGAATTGAGTTTATTAAAGTCCTTAAAGGTGAATTCATTGTTTCAAACGCCTATCTTTCAAATTTGGGCGTAATCACCTCAATTCAAGAATAATGGCCACATATACCCATATTTCCTACCTCGAACCAAAGAGCCTAACAATTGGAAGCCACAAAGCCCCAATGATCCCAATAGCTTAATGTTCGATATTAGTAGAGTAGAATAATTTGGTGAGTATTTGGAGTCAAGCATATGCATGTAAGTATAAATTCTTTCTATCTTTAATTTGCAAATATTGGATGCTTGAAGCAATTGTATGAATTGTGGTTTTTGGTAATGGTGAGTGACTAAGTGTTGTTGAATTTTGAGCTTGCGAATGCCTAAGAATTGTCATTATAATTACAAGTTCTGAAAACGTGAAGTTGATCATTGATCTATGTGATGAGATGTAATAGTTGAGTTATTTGCTTATTGGTAGATTTTGCTTGAGGACAAGCAAAAGTTCAAGTTTGGGGGTGTGTTAAGTGTATATTTTTACACTTTATCGTACCTTTTTATTTGGGCTTTTGGTGTGTTTTAACGATAATTGGTGCTTAAAAAGTTGATTTATTGTATTTTAGGTACAAATTGAAGAATTGGAAAAGTATGGGGTCAAAACTGCAATTTTGGCGAAAATATGGGTCAAAAGTGAAAATATCAAAATTCTGAATATTTAAAGCTCGGACCCCGTCCCAGTTTTAGTGCAAATTGTGAGACCCCCGTCCGATACTCCGAAGTTGCGCAGTAAAAGAATTTTAATTGCACAAGGAAGCTGCCTTCTTCCCCAAGTTCTTCACCCTATATAAGAACAAGCCAAGCACACAATTGAGGATCTTTTTACGAAATTTGACACCACAAAACGCGAGGAACGAAGATCAACGAAGACTCAAGCATAGTTTTTCTTATTTAATTTATTTATTTTATTTTCTTTATCATAAGAATCACGAGTAGCTAAGTTTTTATTTCTAGGATTTTATTTGGAACCCTATGTGGGATTTATGAACCCTTTTCTATGATTTTATGCAAGTTTTAATTCCGGATTATTTCTCCTACTTGTTTTATTAAGTGCATGAATTTGATCACCTTATGTGCTTTTATGTTATTGTTAATCGCATGAATCGGAAGATCGGGTTAATAATTAGAATTGTGGTAGAAGAGCCTTTGTGGTATTAACCAATGTTTTGAAAACCGGACCGGACCGGCCGGTCCGACCGGTTCAACCGCGAACCGCCGCCATGTCCGGTCCGGTTAAATGTGAAAACCCAAAAAGCTCAAAAAACCGGGTCAACAGCAAAAATTCCGGTTGGACCGGTAAGAACCGGTTAACCCGAAACCAAGTCCTCAAACCGGTTTTCAGCTCAAAACAAAATATCAATGTCGGATCTACATCAATGGTGGTCGTAGGTAAATGAATCTTGACGGGAAAGGTTGTTGGTGAACGGATCTAGACAGATCTGGGTAGTATCTAACCCAATCCAAGTTGTGGCCGCCATAACTTTCTACCGGGAAAAGAAAACGAAGGTGAAAGTGAAAATAAAGAAAAAAAATGTAAAAATAATTTGAGAAAATAAAGTATATGTGTGGGTGGAGATGATGATAATTAAGAATAAACAGAGAACGAAGAGAAGAAAAGTAGATGAACGAAAAGAAGGGGATGGGGACCTGTGAAGAGTCGGGAGGAAGAAGAAAGGAGAGAGAGAGAGAAAGAGGGGGGAGAGGAGAGAGAGAGAGGTGGAGAGAAGAAAATTAGTAATTTTAAATTATTTTTTTATAAAAAAGGTGGAGTAGATAAAGTGATAAAAGTGGGAAGGAAATATAAAATTATAAAATATATTATATTTGAGGTATTAAATTAATAAAATAATTATATATAAAAAAATAATAAAAAACCCGGTTGGACCCCGGTTGAACCGGTCCAACCGTGACCCGATAGCTTGGCCGGGTCGATGTCCGGTCCGGTTTTCAAAACATTGGTATTAACATAGGAATATAGTTAATCTCTTAGGTAGCCATTATTGAGATTTGTGTTTAATGCTATGTTCTAGAATTAATTGCGTAGGAATACAGTAATTGAATCTAGGGTATTAGAATCGTAATACACGCGGAAGCGGGTTATGATTAATTTAGCATCTCAGGTTAATAATTCGGGTTAATTACTTGCATAATTGAAGGAATTGGGAGAGTACTAATCACATAGGGAGAAGAATAAAATCCTATGCTTGTTTACTTTGATTAAATCTTCGTTTTAAATTGTTTTCTTGTTTTTGTTTGCTTTTTAATTTAGTATAATTTAGTTAATTATCTCTAAATTCGACTGTGTAGGGTGGGCTTGATAATAATTGGTAGGATTTCGCGTCTAGGATTAAATAATTAAATATTTCCTGTGGGTTCGATATCCGGACTTTTAGTCCACTATATTACTTGTACAATACGTGCACTTGCGTGTAGGTTTTCGGCCAACAACTTTACAATATAAAACACCAATATTATCATACACCCATTTACAAAAATTATATATTATGTACTTTTCTTTTATACATTATTTTCTTCTATAACCCTCATTCTTCCATCCGCAACACCACAGGTCCACAACCCATCTTTTTCTTCTTTCCGACAAACAGTCATTCACCAGGCAGGCACCATCACGATCATCAGATTATTGAATGGTTGATTTTTTGATTTATGATTTTTTTTAAATAGATAAAAATAACTTGGGATATTATGTGATTGCAGTAGAACCTATAAATTAATAACCTCAATTAAATAATAGTTTCTCCCAATCCTGACTCGGTGAAAACATGTTAAATTATTAACTCTATAATTTAATAATTCGTTAAATCAATAGAATTTCCCTGATCCTAACTGTATTAATTTATAGAGGTTTACATGTAGTTAGTATTCCAATAAAAGTTGGTATTCTAAATATTTGATTCAAGTAGACAGAGATGGTTGAACCAAAATAATTTTGTTTAAAGTTCAATTGACTTTATCGTGTTCCATCAACACACTTAAAGGGTGCATTTGGATGGAGGGATTTGGGGGACGGATTTCAAATCAATAATAACAAATCCGACTTGTTTGGATTGAGGGATTTGGAGATGGATTTCAAATCTCCACCCCTCCTTTTTAGTTGATTTTGGAGCAATAATGATAGATTTCAAACGACTCCAAAATTGGAGTCATTTCAAATTCATTCCCTAAATCAAATCCCTCCCCAAATCCCTCCATCCAAATGGACCCAAAGGGTTTTACGACATATCCGACGTAGAAGTAGGCCGATATTTTCTTTATCTCCTTATTTTCTTTTTATAATCATCAGCCTATACTACATCCTCAGATCCGGCCGCACATGAAACTCGTGGCCAATATTCTCTTTCATTTCTTCTTCTTTCCGGCCACCACCTTAAAACTATAGCCCTCTACCAACATTTTCAGGAAAATCGGTTTTCACCGGCTTTTTGGTTTTCCGTCGAACCGGAAATTTTGTCCGGTTTTTTACATTAACCCGATTTTTTGGTATTTACGGGTTTATATGAAGAACCGGCCCGGATCTACCTCCGGTTCCCGGTTGGGTTTTCAAAACATTGGGAAAAACCCAACATGTACATATTTTTGTATTTTCGAAATTTGGAGAGGATTTGATTTTTCTTTTTTCTTTTTCGGGATTTAGAGATGGTGTTGAGAAATATTTGGTCTTAGAAAAACTGAAATGCTAATTGCAACAGAAATTTTACTGAAATTGGCTTATTTGCAGTGGTAGTCTCATTTGTCAATTTTTTAACTATCTAAAAAAATCGAAACTCTCTCAACTAAAAAAAATCGAAGACTTAGAATTTGAAGCTCGTTCGACAAATTTGAAAACAAACAACAACAACTTCGATGCCCGATCCGGAATACTTTTATGAGGTAAAAACGAAAAAAAATAAAAAAAAATTAAAGGGGTAATCGTGCTGTACAACACGCGAAGTATATATAAAAAAAATTAAGTTACCATGCTGCACAACACGGTAATCTGGGTTTTAATTTTCTTTCCTTTTTTTCTGTTTTTTTTTCCTCTTTTTTTGTTTTAATGTATTTTTCAGCATCATTAATATATTAATTATTATTTTTTATAATTTGGTAGGGTGATGATGGTGATTTCGACGAAGAATTTGAGGATGATGATATTCCACAAATTATTTAAAAATTCGATATTACAAAAAGGGAAAAAGAAAAAAAAACCCAAAATTTTTAAAGCTCCCGTTCTGCATAGCACAAAAACTTGAAGATCTTCAAGTTTTCGTGCTCGCAGACGGGAGCTTCAAAAATTTTTGAACTCCCCGTTCTGTAGAGGACGAAACCCCAATAATTTTCCAAAAAAAAAAAAAAAAATTGAACTTCCCGTTCTCTAGGGCACGAACACTTGAAGTTCTTCAAGCAACCGTTCTGCAGAGCACGATTGCTTGAAGAATCTTCAATTTTCGTACCCTGAAGAACGGGAAGTTCAAATTTTATTTCATTTTTCCGAAAATTTACCTAGATCTAGTCGTAAACATGCGTTTGCTACGCCTTCAAAGTCGAAATATTTTCCGAAATTCAAATGTCATGAGAGTAGGAGAGAGAATTTCTAAAAAACAAATGAAAAATGATTATGCTGCATTCGGCAAAAGTTCCGCTGCAAATAGCAACGCCCTAAGAGAAATAGTGAAAATTGCCCAATCCCTAAACATAACTGTAGCTCTACACAAAACAGAACCCCAAATTCAAATTGGGGAGAGCCCCAAATCCCTAAAATCCGAATTAACTACTCACAACCACGGATGGCTTCGAAGCTTCAATCTTCAGGCAAGTAAGTAATCTTCCTCTATAAACCCAAATGATTTACGCATTCAATTTGCAAAGATGATTGCACTCATACGCCGAAATCTCACCTCTCCAATCTCGAATCACTCTTTATTATCTCTCTGCAATTCCCATTTTTTCTCTACTTCCCAAACCCTCGTCGCCGCACCTACTGTTCTTGATATCTTATTGCATAAACACCACTTATCCCCCGAGGTGGCTTCACTAGTTGACTCAGATTTGAGATTCAGTAATCCCACCGACCCAGTAAAAGCCGATTCAGTACTCTCGTATTTCAGAGATAGCGGCTTTTCGACCACCCAATTGGAGAAGCTCGTCAAGTACAGGCCTCGACTTCTCGCGTCGAGTGTCGAGAAAACCATCAAACCCAAGATCAAGATTTTCCAAGATTTGGGGTTCTCTTCACAAGACATCGGCGATATAATCACGAATAATCTGACAATTCTGCATTCGAGCGTCGACAACATCATCGTCCCCTCGTTAACCGTTCTAAAACGCCTGTTGGGTTCCAATCATGACGTGGCAAGACTCTTACGGTTGTGCTCGTGGTTTCTGACGGTCGATTTGGAAAAGAATATGGTGCCCAACGTCGAATTCTTGAAGAGCTACGGCGTACCCATGGAGCGTATTCTCGTCATACTCTATCATAACCCGAGGTGTCTTCTGATCAAGACCGAGATCATGAAGAAGTCCGTTGAAAGAATCGAAAGAATTGGGTTCAATCGGAGCTCGAAAATGTTTGCCTATGCGATTAGGGTTGTTTCCATGATGAGCGAGGAGACGTGGGAGCGGAAGGTGCAGGCTTTTCGGGATTTGGGATTTTCGGAAACGGAAACGTTGGCAATGTTCAGGAAGGCGCCGACGTTGTTTACGAAATCACCGGAGAAGATAAAGACCGTAAAAGAACTTGTGCTCGAAACAGGGAAGTTCAGTATTTCATCATTCGTGAATAACCCGGTTTCTCTTGCGTGCAGCATCGAGAATAAGTATAAGCCGAGGTTTCAAATATTGGGGATTCTTGAAAGTAGGAATCTGATTAACTATTGGCCTGGTCTCTCGACAATTTGCAAGTTGCCCGATGATAAATTTTTTGGGAGATATATTGGGCCTCATTTGAGTGAACTTGGTGGTCAAGTGTACGTCGCAAACAGTTATTGGCAAAAGGAAATATTAAAACCGTAAAACATCTGCTCGAAGGAACTGGTCAATTCGAAGCTAACCAACGAAAAATAGGTACTTGGCTGATTTATGATTATGTGGATTATGTATTTGGCTCCTTAAATTATATGGTCCCGTTTGGCTGCCGAGATAAGCCAAGATTAACTTAGTAGTTGGACTTAATTTGATGTTTGGTATCTCCAATAAATTGTTTGGTCGACCCACCAAAATTATTTAATCATGGCTTATCTTGCCTTCTAGTATGTTTTTTTTGTTGGACGTCGCAAGCTCCAATAAAATAATTGGGTTTCATCAGTCTATTTAATATTATCTTGGCTACTCTTATCTTGTCAACCAAACGGGGCCTATATATATATTGTAATTGCATGTGCCTTTTGATTTTAAGGGCTAAGATTGGCTCATTTCATGTGACAGAAAGTATTCTGTGTGACCACCTAAAATTTGTATTTGGTTTCTCCTAATATTGTTCGGATCTTGGAATTTTGTCGGGACAAAACTAAAAATATTCCGACGCGAAAAAAATACATTTTTGTGCTTTAGTTTTAATGTTTTCTTTTTGGGTTATAGTTTGTGTCCTTGTGTTTTGTCTCATTGTTTGAACTCTCATTTATCGAAGAACAAATATAAACCGTATACAATATGCATAAGAAATGGGTGTGGTGTCTGAATGTCTTCTTTATTGTTTTTATGTATTAGGGTAAATTACAACCACGGTATCGTCAATTTATGAAAAATCCCCTCTTGTTTGAATAATTTACATTTATCCCCTCAACTATGATTTTTTCTTACACCTCCACTCTTACGGTGTCAAATTATACACAATCATCTAGATTTCATGGAATGTGCTCTAGTTTGTACTCGTTTTGTGTAAAAATATAATTTCTGATGCACCACAATTTGATATATACAAGCCAAAAAACACGTATTATGATCATCAAGCTTCAAAATGTGGAGTTCGAATGGGATAAAACGGGTACATAAGTGATAATATTCCATAAAATCTCAAAGATTCGACTAAATTTGAAACCGCAAACAAGAGGGAGTTTTCGTAATTTGACCATACCTCAGGGTGTGGTTGTAATTTATCCTATGTATTAAATTATGTCTTATAGGTATTATACAAACCCTTTTTTTTATATGTGGTATTTGCAGGGAATTTTGTTATTATTTATTTGGTTTGTGCAAATTAAATTATTTTGGTTAGAATGCTTTGATTTGAATTTTGAAGTAGCGCTTTTTTGATTCTTTCTCTTCTTTTCTCTTGTTCTACTTTGAATTGTGATTCTTCACCCGACGAATTCCTCTCCGCTTTTTTGATTCTTTCTCTTCTTTTCCTCTTTTTTTTTCTCAACTTCTGGTATTCCCACTTTGGTGATGGACTTTTGAAGTCATCTCAGTCATCTCTATCTTATGTGTGTGTATTGGCTTTCTGGTTTTTGAATACTCCGGTTTTCTTTGTTTTGTTTATTAAGCCTACTTTTCTTTTCGGTTTTCTTTGTTTTGTAGCTTTTCGTGTACAGTTGATAATGGTAATTTGGTTGTTGGACTTTGATGTTGTTGTAATGTCCTTTTTTGTTGTGTTTTTTTTTTTTTTTTCTGATAATTTGTTTTGGGTGTCTTCTGTACTGTACTGCCGAATATGGCAGAATTTTTTTGACATTTATAAATAAAGGAAAACTCGACCCTGACCCGAAATAGTCGGGTACCCGACTATTTTGGGTTTGTGTAATGCTTTTTATGCAAAAAATCCGAATAACCAGTTTTCATTTGTTCTGATATATATATATATATATGTATTAGTATTTACCATGTGATACACGGGCTATCATTGTTTACTGTTAAGTATATACGAAATTTAAAATATGTGGAAGTAACATATATTAAAAAAAAATTAAAAAAATTATTGATTAAATAAAAAAGTATTACGACATAAATATAACACATCATCTCATTAAAAACTGCAGGGAAAGGAAAAAGGAATATTTTAACCAAGGAGTACCATCCTCCACCATGAAAAGTGAAATGAACAAAAACACTTGAAGAAGATCAAGATAACTAAACACATATTCAATAACAATCTATAAGACACAACTTTGATGAACTAAAACCAAAACAATTCCTATGACTTAAAAATTAAAATCCAACACCAAGAATAAGAAAAAATGTAAAAAAACAAATAAATCTTATCTTTTTACTGGAACATTCAGACACATCTTTAAACATAAATTAGGAGGCTAATCACCAAAAAAGAAAGAGAGAGCGAGAAAATTTGGAGGACCAAAGATTACAAACGAAGCTACGATTTTTTCTAGATCAAAATACTCCCGGAAAAACACCTCAAAATTTGTGAACGAGACAGAAAGTTGACTCTGCTGCCTACGTACGATAACCATGGACTCGCTCAAGGCTGAAACACGTCCCTTGCGTATACGCGCATTATTTTTTTGGTGAGCTCGAACAGACAACCATGAACATTTTATTTTTCAACTTGTCCAATAATGAAGCGATTCTTAATTTGGTCCCTTAGTTTTTTTGCAGAAACCTCCTGGGGTGGTTTTTGTCCTTTCACAACCGGTCAACGGCAAAAAGTTAATTAGGTCGTGTGTGTGTGGGCTTATGAGATCCTACACCCGATGAAATACACCATGTAGTTTTAAATCATAGATTTACATAAATAACTACCAACTAAGCACACATGCACATGAATGTGTGTTATTATGGATAGATCAATGGTGTAAAACCATATGGTGCATTTCACCAGGTGTATGTTCTACAAACCGTCTGAGTATATTGTCTAAAAATAAATATCAGAGGGTATTTGCTTACTTTCTTATGATACGGGGGAAAGCACAGTTGCGATTTTCATATAGGGTAATAAATTCAATAAGCTAATTTTCTTTTTCTTTTGAAATAACTCAATGAGTTTACAATTGAAATTTGAAAGCATTCCCCTTCGAATTGACAGAAATTGTTTGAAAGTTTGCTCAATTTCTACATTTCTAACCTCCAAAATAATTCCTGTAAACTTACAGAATTCGAATGAGGTAGTCGATGAATTGTTCTCCATTAATCATCAGCGTTCACCAATTTGCAGGCGTGGAATATGCGCTATCTTGTGCCAGTCCTCCCCATCCCCTCTCTCGCACCGCCTTTCCAATTCCGAGCATTTCTCCACACACAGATACCGAAGATTCGTCATTCCTTTCACACTATCCGGAATCGATGCTATCTTCGAGCAATCGTAAATATCCAGTGATTCAAGACATTTCAAACCATCCAACCACTCCGGCAGTGAACTCAGCACATGAAGGCGGTGCAGTTTTAGAGATTGGAGCGAATACGCAATGTGTTGCAATGCTTCGGGCACGCGCACCATCTTAGAAAGATCGTCGAGCTTCAGCTCTTTCAAGCAGCGAAGATATTTAATACCTTCCGGAAGATCCACTATTTCCGAGCATCGGCTTACTTCTAGTTCCTCTACACAAGTCAAGTTTCGCAACCAACATTGAGGCAAACACGCCAGCTTCTCGCTATCCACTACATGCAAGCGTTTTAGTGATTTTAGGGATTTCAGCCCTTCTTCCGGCAAGCAGAGCTCGTGTGCTCCGTAGATCCACAAATCGTCGAGACTGGTTAGGTTTTGCAGCGTCTTGATTGGAATGCATGTCGTATTCTTGTCAATGTCCACGAGAAGGAGATTAACGGTGTACAGGTTCGACAGTGAAGCCAGAGTTGAGCTACTGCAGCTCAAAGTCTTCAATTTTTTTAGGTATGAGAGTGGCGGCATTACCAATGAAGAACAATGCAGAATGCATAGCTTCTCGAGATTTGGGAACGCTTCTCTGGTCGTTTCCTCTTTCGACAACCCTTTGAGATTCGGGAGAGAACGCAAATACAGAGTTTCCAGAGATGGAAAATTTACGCATAACGTATTTCCACTACGAACTTGACCCTCGATAATGTACTCCACCGCCGCCACATTATCCAAAGTCAAGGACTTAAGATGAGGTAGCTCTCCCAGTTGTGGTAGACGCAAACAATTCTCGCAGTATGATATGTGGATTTCGACTACTTTGTCCAGAGTCGAATTCGACATCCAAATCGGAAAAAATCTACCCCCGAATCCCCGAATCCCTAAACTTTTGAGGTTTCGGTGAGGCTCGAGTGATTCCAACACCTTTTCATCTCTCTCTTCCACCTCTAATTTTGATGCAATGTTGTCACTTCCCCACACTAAACTCAAACGGTGAAGGTTTTTCTTCTCTCTAAGATTTGCCTTGTTTGCATCGACGGGGTTTTCCACTCTCTCCAGATGAGAAATTGTTAGCCTGCCACCGAGGTTCAAGCCCTGTAATTCTTCGAGCCGATTACCTCTATCACGGCCCACAACGAACAGACTCAATGTTCTGAGGCAGGTAAGTTCTCCGATTTTAGATGGCATCTCCTTTAGTGATTTGCATGATTCTAAAAGTAGATGACGGAGATTAATCAAGCATCTCGTCTTCTTCGGTAAAGCTACGAGATCCTTGCAGTAATCCAAATTCAAAACTTGCAAATTACAAAGACTGGATAACGACTCGGGGAGGGTACGAATTCCAGTCTCGGACAAATTCAAGTGTCGCAAATGTTTCAGACGGCCTACTGCATATGACAATTCATTTATCCCCGTCCTGCTTGCATCTAGTATCCTCAAACGACAAAATTTCGTCAAGATGAAAGGCATGTCCATCTCAGGTTGATTACTCGTAGGGAAGGCAACAGATTTTTTTCGTAAATTTACCTGGCGTATTTTGCTATTCGGTGCAGTGCTTGTCAGATTCCTCTGGATATGTGCTCCTGTGGTTCTGTCCTCCATGATTGATTGGGCGAGATCATGAACGAGATCATGCATAATCAAATTGGTTTTAATATTTGTACCCGTAACAATTTGCAAAAGGGATCTCAAGACTAGCTCATTGCATATTTCGTTGCCAACATCCTCCACTTCCAACACGCCCTTTGATGAAATATATCCATGCGCCATCCACATAAAGATCAATTCGTCTTTCCGAATAAAAGTGCCCTTGGGAAAGACTGCACAATAAGCAAAACACTGTCTCAACTCTAGAGGAAGATGATAATAACTCAACCTCAATGCTGGTAGTATCAGATTTTCTTCTTGAGGTAATACCCATATTTCACTTTCTTTTACGTAATTCCACTCATTCTCTGTCCTCTTAAACCGCAACAGACCTCCAAGCGCCTTAGCAGCCAGAGGAACACCGGCACATTTCTTCACTATTTGATTCCCGATGGGTTCGAGATTGGAGAATTTATCCTTGTCTTGTCCGAGTGCACGTTCCCGTAGAAGAGTCCAACAATGCTCTTCTGACAATCCCGTCAAGTAATGCGGTGGAAGTGTTCCCATTATATCAACAACCTTTTTGAGGCGTGTGGTGATAATAATCGAACTCCCATTCGAACCGCACGCAAGAGCATTTCTTAATTCAGACCACTTCTGTTGATCCTCGTTCCAAACATCATCCAATACAAGCAAGTATCTTTTCTGGTTCAGCAACTCCCATAGGCAGTGTTGTATGCTATCCAAGTGCATTAAGTCTGAAGAATTTGCGGTACCGGATTCAATCATGGCTTTCATTACAGTCTTGAGATCGAAATTGCCAGAGACGCAAACCCAAATTCTTTTGTCGAAATGCTCGACGACACGTTGATCTTTGTAGACTAATTGAGCGAGGGTTGTCTTGCCAAGGCCTCCGACACCAATTATGGGCAGGATGGTAATTCCCCGATTGTCTTTCACCTGGTTGACTAGAATGCCAACAATCTTCTCTGTATCTTCTTCTCTACCGTATACAAGATGAGGCTCGTTCAAACTGGAACCGGTCTCACGCGCGGCAGCAAACTCGATCGGCTTATAACGTACAGTCGTCTCACGCAAATGGAACTTATCACGCTCTGCGGCAACCGCATCCAATTGTTGCGTGACTCGCTTCATCCTTCTTCCAATTTTGCGTTGAAACAGAAGTTTCTTCAAGCTATAGCGTCTTGATTTGCTGCTTATGTGCTCCAATTTCAAGACTTCAGTTGCGCACTCGTCCAATATGTCATCAATATCATAGGCAAGATCGTTGAGTTTGACGAGCCAATTATGTATGGACTTGCTTTGAAGCTGCTTTATCTCGGCGTCTTCGAGCACAGCTTGAATGGCGGTTAGGGTGCTCGAGAGCTTCTTCATCTCTTCATCCACACCGATAATCAGTCCAATCTCAGCTTGGATCAATGAGCACAGACTTCCAACAAGTACATTAAGAGATGCCTCTGCCATATCTGAACTAATTGAAACGCTTTGAGGATTTATTTTTGTTAATTGTCCGGAATATGAGAGAAGATGGGAAACTGTGCATATCCATATATGTCAAAGTAAACGCATCTTTTCAACTTTGTTGCGTGTCTCTAAAGTCAAACAAGAACATGCAAAGTTTAATAATCAGTTGAAGTAATTAATTGTCTTTACAAGTAAGTGTAGTAGTAGTTTATAATTTTTGTCAAGTTGAATACAAATAATTGATATTATTATTAGAGTAAAAAGCAGTTTGCCCCCTAAATTAAAGGTCGATTTGCATTTTACCCCCCAAACAAAAAAAAATTGCAAATTTTTACCTTAACTCGTTAATTCGTTGCACGGTGCCCCCTAAACTTAATTTTCCGGCAATTTTGACCAGAATGTTAAAACATGTGCGATGCACGTGATATTTGAAGGATAAATTTGTCCCTTCACTTACATCTTATATGTTAATTATAAATTAATTATTAAAAAAAAAATAAAGAAAAATAAACAAACTCAGTCATCCGTCGCCCACACCACCCAAATCCAACTCATCCCCCAATCCAAAGAACCAGACACTCTCATTTCAACAAGTCCCTTAATTTTCCGACGACCGCCAGCCTCACTCCTCCCTTCACGGCCATAGGTGAAGGTGACAATGATTTGGAATAACCCGAATCAGTTGATTTTTCAAGTATCCAGCCAAGATCTGTACAACCAATCGAAATTTTCGGGTCTCCAAAGCCGACACCATGAGTGCGACACTAGCGGAATTAATCCATTAGCCTCGTCGTCGGCGTCAAAACGTAGTCGTTTCGCAATGGGATGGTGGGCGGTTGTGGGCTGGGATTTGGGGGTGGGTCTCGTTGTCGGAGTCGGTTCTCGGTTTGTTGTGGTGAAGTTGTTCAGGTTAATCGCGGCGGCGGACTCTGTGGGAACTGGATTACGGAGACTAAGTGATGAACGAGAAAGAAGAATTAGAATCAGGGAAAATAAAGGGAGAAAAAGAAATTGAAAGAAAATAAGAAAAAAACAAACGAAAGAAGATTTAAGTTTGGGTCGTCTCTTCAGATTTTAATATTCCATCGTTCTGAATTTGAGGTTCTTAGCTTGTTGTTTATTATCTTCCTTATAATTGATAGTCGTTGTTGAATTGATAAATTGTTGTTCTCAAAAAAAAAAAAGATTTAGAATCAGGGAAAAGAAAGGGAGAAAAAAAATTGAAAGAAATAAAAGAAAAAAAAACGAAAGATGAAGAAGAAATGGAGAAAGTCCAGCAGCTGCTGCAAGACTGCTTCAATGGTGGTGCCATGGTGGTCTACGGGATGAGTGGATGACAACTCATTTTTGTTCTTTTTCTTTTTTATTTATTTATTATTATTATTATTATTTTATTTTAAATATTAAAATATATAATGTAAGGGACGTGACCAATTTGCCCCTGCAAATCTCATGTGCAATACACGTGTAGTCATATTTCCGTCAAAATTGCCGGAATATTCCTTTTAGGAGGCACCGTGCAATGAATTAACGAGTTCAGGTAAAAACGTGCAAACTTTTTTTGTTTGGGGGGCAAAGTGCAAAACGGGCTTTAATTTAGGGGGTAAACTGCTTTTTACTCTTATTATTATTTATAATATTGTGGTTGGTTGAAGCTTGTATTATTACTCTTATTATTATTTATAATACTGGTATTGTGTTTGAATAATGGATAATTGACACTTTGCACCCTTGAATGATATGTCATTGACATTTTGCACCCTTAAATTGAAAAAATGGCAGAATACACCCTCCAATTACAGTTTATTTGGCATTTTCCACCCTACTTCACCTTTTGGCTATAAAATTGAGGAGAAAATACAGTTTGCACCCCAGAATTATAGGTTTTGTCACAAACATCCCCTCAACTACAAAACGTATCAAAATAGCCCATGTTATTTATGGTCAACGTTAACAAAACTCACACTGTTCATTTTATTGTACATTTACTAATTTGTCCTCACAATTTGCTTACAAAATTGGGCCCAATCAACCACCTCTACCAGTTTTCTCTCTCTTTGTCTAGCCGGTGGGTGGTGCCTTTCTCTACTTCCACCCCTTTGAAGTGTTCAAACACATCTCAATATTCACTCGAAACCATCCAATTAGCCCAACTCAGTCTCGTCATGAGCCCTCAAATCAGGAAATTCTTAATCGGATGGTGTCCGTCGGTGATCCCAACAATCTCTCCGCCACCGCTGCTACTAATATCTTTAACGAAGATGAAGAAAGGTCCAACCAAAGATTATTCCGCCGTTGTCGCCGTTGATAAAACGTATTTTGAAAATACAGATGCTGCTGTAGAATGGGTACGAAAGGATAATGACTGGACTCTTGTAGAGAGATTATTGTGAAGTTGGGGATGATGATATTACGACGGAAGAGTGATGATGATTTTGATGGTAATAAGGATTCAGATAATGAGAACGAAAAACTTATGTTTCATGTCTTTAATCTAGTTGAGATCTATAGTTCTACCTCTGAATTAAACATGATTTTTAGCACATGTTAAGTGTATTATTTTACACTTAATCATATCTTTTAATTTGAGCTTTTAGTATATTTGATTGATAATTGGTGCTTCAAGTTATAATTTATTATGTTTCAGGCACAAATTGAAGAATTGAATAAGTTGTGGGTCAAAACTACAATTTAGAAGAAAATGTGAACAAAATTGGAGAAGTCAAACACCCGAGAAGGAAAGACTGCGCAGTAAAGAAACTTCCAAAAGTTACAAGGAAACTACATTTTCCCCAATTTTCCCACCCTAAAAAGCCATCTCAAGCACACAATTGGGAGTCATCTTCTTACGCAATTTCAAGAGCAAAGAAGCAATAATGAAGAATTCGAAGACTCCATCCATAGTTTTTGTTGAGGTGCAAACAATGTCCCACATCGCTTAAATATGGGAAAGATCTATGGTTTTATAAGGAGGGGATAGTAACTCCATTGGTATGAGGCCTTTTGGGGAAACCCAAGAGCAAAACCAGTTGGGCCCGACCCAGTCTGGACAATATCATACCAATGTGGAGTTCGTGCTATCCCGGCGGGGGCCCAACAGTGGTATCAGAGCCATGGCCCAGACATAACCACGTGGTGGAAATTCCCGAATCCTCGGTGCCGAACAAAAATGGTGAGCTCCCGGTGCGCAAATGGAGGCGGCTCGACGAGCTCTAGGTGGGAGGCTCGGTGTTCCTTTGTTCGAGGCTCGGTGCGCTCTGAAACAAAGATGGTGTGAGGCCCAGGCGCAAATTGAGGGGAGGCTCGGTGGTCCTTTGTGGTCCGACCTATGTGGTACTTTGTTCGAGGGGAGGATTGTTGAGGTGCAAACAATGTCCCACATCGCTTAAATATGGGAAAGATCTATGGTTTATAAGGAGGGGATAGTAACTCCATTGGTATGAGGTCTTTTGGGGAAACCCAAGAGCAAAACCAGTTGGGCCCGACCCAGTCTGGACAATATCATACCAATGTGGAGTTCGTGCTATCCCGGCGGGGGCTCAACAGTTTTATCTTCCATAAATTATTTTAATTTCGTTTTTACTTTAATCATGACTAGCTAACTCTTTTAATTCTAGGATTTTATTTTAAACTCTACGGGGGATTTATGAACCATTTTCTATGATTTTATGCAAGTTTTAATTCCGGATTATTTCTTCTACTTGTTTTATTAAGTGCATGAAACTGACCACTTTATTTGCTTTTCTGTTATTGATAATCGCATGAATCAGAAGATCGAGTTAATAATTAGAACTTGGGTAGAAGAGCATTTGTAGTATTAGGAATATAATTAATCTCTTAGGTAGCCATTATTGAGATTTGTGCTTCATGTTGTGTTTCAGAGTTAATTGCGTAGGAATACAGTAATTGAATCTAGAGTATTAGAATTGTAATACACGCGGAAGCGGGTTATGATTAATTTAGCATCTCAGGTTGGTAATCCGATTTAATAATTTGCATAATTGAAGGAAATGTGGAATTAATAATCGCATAGGGGAAGAATAAAATCCTACGCTTGTTTCTCTGATTAATCTCCGTACTTAATTGTTTTCTTGCTCTTGCCTTTTTAATTTGCTTTAATTTAGTTTAGTTAATTTAGAATAATTACTCAACATTCAACTGTGTAGGGTGGGCTTAATCACAATTGGTAGGATTTAGCGTCTAGAATTAAATAATTAAATATTCTCTGTGGGATCGATACTTGCACTTAAAAATCCATATATTACTTGTACGAATACGTGTACTTGCGTGTAGGTATTTACAACCAACACGTTTTTTGACGCCGTTGCCGGGGATTATTTTATTTATTTATTTTATTCTAGCTCTAGATTTGAACAATTTTCATGATTCACCCAAATTTAATTTTTATTTGTTGTAAAATCGCCTATTTAATCTAGCTCTTTGGTTTGTGATTGTGGAAATACATAAGAATGTAAATAACAAGATAAAGAGAGACAAAGATAATGCAAAGAACAACAATCCGTAGAGAGATAATTGTGGGTATCAATGGGGAGGGAGTTTTTCTCATTAATATAGGTGTAAGCCACCGGAAGTTACAAGGAGGAGTTACAAATGGGAGTTCCATGGAAGTTATTTCCTACACACATCATGGGACTAAGATGTGGGAAGTTTACACTAGTGGGAGGTTGAAAAGACCCTCAAAGTGATTAAGTTAGGAAACCATACATTCCATATTATTTACAACACTCCCCATTGGTTTCCTATCGAACCACTATTGTGCTTTTTGTGTTGCCTCGTTAAAACCTTCCGAGTCATAAAACCCATTGGGAAAAAACAACATCGGTTAGGGAAAAGAGTACAACGCACAATCTTTTCAATCAACAAATGTTGCCTCATTAAAACCTTGTCGAGTAACGAAAACCCTGTGGGAAAAATAAATCTCGCACGAAGGAAAAAAAGTACAACGTGGCACCCCGGGTATCTTCTGGATACTGAGTACCTACAGGATACTCCCCCTCAAGTTAACTCCCCATGATGTCTACAAGGGAGCGAGTTCGTATAATCTACGCAAGTCAATAGCCTTAACATGGTTTTCCAAAGTGACTTTAGGCGAAGACTTAGTAAATAAGTTAGCGTAGTTACCTTAAATCATGATCTGCTGGATCATTATTGTTTGAGCT